ATCTCCTGACCTCGTGATCCGCCCGTCTCGGCCTCCCAAAGTGCTGGGATTACAGGCTTGAGCCACCGCGCCCGGCCGGTAGCCTGCTTTTTTAAAAAAAATTTTATATTTTTGAGATGTATCCATTTAGCTCTGTTTCATTCATTTTCACTAGTGTATTATGTCCCCTTATAATTTTGATAGCTTAAAATACTATTGTAAGTTAGGAATTTATATATTTCAGAGTTTTTTTTCTTTTTTTTTTTGAGATGGCGTCTTGCTCTTGTTGCCCAGGCTGGAGTGCAATGGTGTATGTGATCTTGGCTCACTGCAACCTCTGTCTCCTGGGTTCAAGTGATTCTCCTGCCTCAGCCTCCCTTGTAGCTGGGATTACAGGCATGTGCCACCACGCCAGACTAATTTTGTATTTTGAGTAGAGGGGGTTTCTACATGTTGGTCAGGCTGGTCTTGAACTCCGGACCTCAGGTGATCTGCCTGCCTCGGCCTCCCACAGTGCTAGGATTACAGGCGTGAGCCACCGCGCCTGGCCTTCAGGGTATTTCTTTTATAGCATTTTCTAATTGGGCTTAACAAGCCCTACTTTAAGAAATTAAACCTTATGATTAGCTGGCTTAATATAGAGGCTTAATTGAAGCTGAATTATTATTCATTTGAAGTTGAATTGAGTTATTGGGGCCCCTGTCCCCTTGCAGGAAGGATGAAAGTAGTGGCTGGCCTCAGGTTTGGGGGCAGGTGATGAGGAACCAGATCAGTATTTCGCTCTCAGATTCGGAAGACCCGGCTGTCCATGTGCATCATCGGGGAAACCTCTTGTTCTCCGAGTAAGCAGCTCAATCCAGCTTCCAAATTCTGACCATGGCTTCAGTGCCTTTGTGGAATGAGGAGGGACATGAGGAAGAAAGTGAGTCACTAATGTACATTCTCACTTGAGCTGAGCCACCTTTGGTCCCTGAGCCCATGTAGTTTCCTTTCGTTGTGATTGTAATTTTAAAATAGTATAATTTATTATTTACCTTATCACCATTTTGTTATTCAATGGGAGACCTTTTCTGAACAAATCAAGATAAAACATGATCTAGAAGTGTGTTAAATGTGATTTAAGGAAGACAGTGATTCATATTTGTAACTAAACTATTAGTTTTCTTCCCTTAGTGACTGAGAACAACCAATACTGACTTTTGAAGAGCCTCGTGGATACTAATTATTTATTCACTCGCTTGTTCTTTCAACATACTATTTAGGGAATTTTTTACATGCTAGTCTAGACAGTGGGCATAGAAAGATGAATAAAATAATTCCTGTCATAAAAATGTGCATGGTTTAGGAGAAGAGGCATATCAACAAAAACTATGTATATGCCCTATGGCAGAATGAGAGAAACATTAAATGTGATTCCTTTGTAACTGGGATCTCTTTCACTTGAAGTGGGTAATTCAGGTTTGTCCCCATGACCCCCATAAGTAGGGGCAGCACGTGGTAATTACTTGAGCTATATTCCCTTCCTTGTACATTCAAGCCATCCAGATTTCTGTATTTCTTTGTCACCATTGTTTTGGTTGTAAAACAGCTTCATTTTCAGACTAATTATAAGTTAGATTATTATGATTTTGCTTTGAGACATTTTCTTGGGTAGAGATATGCCCATCCTAAGATACATAGTACAAGTACCATATAGATTTGGATTTTTGTGTTTGTATTGGCTAAGACAGGTGTTAGCTCCATATTTATTTTTCTTTCTTTTTTTTTTTTCTGAGATGGAGTCTTGCTCTGTTGCCAGGCTGGAGTGCAGTGGCACGATCTTGGCTTACTGCAACCTCTGCCTGCTGGGTTCGTGTGATTCTCCTGTCTCAGCCTCCCGAGTAGCTGGGACTACAGGTGTGTGCCACCATGCCCAGCTAATTTTTGTATTTTTAGTAGAGATGGAGTTTCACCATGTTGGCCGGATGGTCTCAATCTCTTGACCTCGTGATCTGCCCGCCTCGGCCTCCCAAAGTGCTGGGATTACAGGCGTGAGCCACCATGCCTGGCCTAGCCCCATATTTCTTGTAACTTTGTATCTGATGTCTAATATATTTATAAATACAGAAAGATGTGATTTTCTTTAGTAAGTTTACAGTTTTTTTTATAGGTAGACAAAGAATGATGACCTTTGAAGAAGTTTAAAGTTTTTTTATTTTTATTTTTTATAGGTTGTCTTGTGGAAATGCAGGTTTAAGGACAAGTTATCTGCTTAAGGTAGAAGATGGGATCAAATAGCAGCAGAATCAGCGATCTTCCTAAAAATGAATACTTGAAAAAGTTATCAGGCACGGAATCTGTCTCTGAGAATGACCCGTTCTGGAATCAGCTTCTCTCGTTTTCTTTCCCTGCACCAACTAGCAGGTAAGAGATTGCCTGGAGATTGAAAATTTGGATAACGGGCCATATCAACTTGTGTGGTATGTGGATTAAAAAAAAAATTTAGAAATGTTCTGTCTATCTGGTCTGTCATACATAAATCAGTAGAAAATCCAAAAGATTTGAAAGTAGAAAATAAGCTTTTCTCTTCTTTTTACCCCACTCACTAGCCACCTCCCTTCTTTAGAGGTGAGCACTGGTGGCAGTTGATTTTGAATCGTTCTAGAGATAGTATAGGTTACTTAAGCATATATCCCATATAGTTTCACAAAATTGTTTAAATACAAATGGTAGCATACTACATGTACTGTTCTGTCCCTTGCCTTTTTTCCCACAGTTAAGTAAAATATATCTTGTATATGTAGCACATATGCAACTGCCTTATTCTTTTTAATGACTATGGAGTATCTGTAGAATATATTTAATTGGTTTTCTGTTGATGAACATTTAGATTATTTCCAGTCTTTGTTATAACAGTTATTGCCACATACATCATTTCTTATACACACAAATATATCTTTAGTATAAATTCCTTGAAGTACAATTCCTGGGTCAAAGTGTATGTGCATTTGCAATTTGGTAGCTATGCCAAGTTGTGCTCCATGGAAGTTGTAGGAATTTACACACCTACCAGCAATGCATGAGAGGTGTGTTTCCCCATATCTTTGTCAGTTTGATGCATTTTTAGACCTTTGACCTTTGCCAGTTTTGGAGGTGAAAAACAATATCTCATTTTTAATTATATTACAAAAACTGATAGACAATAATGTAGAATGACTAGAATATTGAATTCCCATACACTCAATAACTAGATTTTAAAAAATTTTATTTACTTTTTAAGAGCTTTATTATGATAGGCAGAATAGTAGCCCCCGAAAGATGTGCATATCTTTGTCTGCAGAGTCTGAATATGTTACATTACATGGCAAAAGGGAATTAAAGTAGCAAATGGCATTGAGGTTACTAATCAGCTGACCTTGAAATAGGGAGATTATCCTGGATTATCTGGGCAGGCCCAATGTAATCACAAGGCTTCTTGAAAGTAGAAGAGGGAGGTGGAAGAGAAAGTCAGATGTGATGTGAGGAGGACTCAGCCTGCCCTTGCTGGCTTTGAAGATGGTAGGGGGTCATGAGCAAGAAATGTGAACAGCTTTGCCGGGCGCGGTGGCTCGCGCCTGTAATCCCAGCCCTTTAGGAGGCCGAGGCGGGTGGATCATGAGGTCAGGAGATCGAGACCATCCTGGCTAACACGATGAAACCCCGTCTCTACTAAAAATGCAAAAAATTAGCTGGGCATAGTGGCGGGCACCTGTAGTCCCAGCTACTCTGGAGGCTGAGGCAGGAGAATGGTGTGAACCCGGGAGGCAGAGCTTGCAGTGAGCTGAGATCACGCCACTGTGCTCCAGCCTGGGCGACAGAGCGAGACTCCGTCTCAAAAGAAAAAAAAAAAAAGAAATGTGAGCAGCTTCCAGAAGCTGGCAGAGGCAAGAATGCAGATTTCCCTCTGGAGCCTCGGGAAAGGAATGCAGCTTTATTGACATCTGGATCTTAGCTCATTGAGTGTCAGACTTCTGACCTACAGAACTGTAAGATAATAAATTTATGTTGTTTGCACTACTAAATTTTGATAACTTTTATAGTAGCAATAGAAAAATAATACACTTTTTGAGGTATGTTTCATATATCATGTAATTCACCCATTTAAAGTGTATTATTCAGTGTTCTTATTCACAGAATTGTGTAACAATCACCAATTTTAGAACATTACAATCCCAGAAAGGAGCCCTATCCCATGCCCATTAGCAGACATTCCCCCAAACTCTAGATTGCACTAGCAACCACTTATTTATTTATTTATTTATTTATTTATTTTTTTGAGAGGGAGTCTCAGTCTGTTGGAGTGCAATGGCACGATCTCTGCTCACTGCAAACTCTGCCTCCTGGATTCAAACAATTCTCCTGCCTCAGCCTCCCGAGTAACTGGGCTTACAGGTGCATGCCACCACACCTGGCTAATTTCTGTATTTTTTGTGGAGATGAGGTTTCACCATGTTGGCCAGGCTGGTCTCGAACTCCTGACCTCAAGTGATTCACCTTTCTCAGCCTCCCAAAGTGCTGGGATTATAGGTGTGAGCCACGGCGTCAAGCCACTAATTTAATAACAATTACTACTATCTTTGCCTCTTCTAGACGTTTCATGTAAATGGAATTGTAACAATAAGGGGTCTTTTGTGACTGGCTTCTTTTTTTTTTCTTCTACTTTTTTAGAGATGGGGTCTTGCTCTGTTACCTAGGCTGGTCTTAAACTCCTGTGTTCAAGCAATCCTCAGCACCCCAAAGTGCTGGGATTACAAGCGTGAGCCACTGCACCCAGCTGTGACTGGCTTGCTTCACTGAGTGTAATATTCATACATGTTGTTGCATGCACCAGTACTTGCATTCCTTTTTTTTTTTTTTTGAGACAAGGTCTCACTCTGTTGCCCCGGCTGGATTGCAGTGGTGCGATCGTAGCTCCCTATAGCCTTGAACTCCTGGACTCAAGTGATCCTTCCACTTCACCTTCCTGAGTAACTGGGACCACAGGCATGCACCACCATGCCTGGTCTTGAACACCTGACCTCAAGTGATCCTCCTTCCTCTGCCTCTGAAAGTGTTGGGATTATAAGCATGAGCCACTGCACCCAGCCTCTGTTCCTTTTGATTGCTGAGTGATACTCCATTGTATGGATATACTGCATTTTGTTTGTCCATTCAGAAATTAATAGACATTTGGATTGTTTCCATATTTTGTTCATTATTGTTTTTTAAGTATCTTAAAGTCTTTTTTTACGTAACCATAATACCATTATCACACCTAACAAAATTAACAATAATTCCTGCTACCCAGTTCATATTTAAAATTTTCCAGTTGTTTTATAGTTTATTACAATTAGGAGCCAAATAAGGTGCATATGTTGCATTTGATGGTTCTTGTTCTTAAATGTCTTTTAAAGTAGAATATAGGTATCCACTTCCCACCTTGCCACTATTTTTTGCTTCATGTCATTTTTAAAACAAATTGTGTCAGTTTTTCTGTGGAATGTTCCATCTTCTCTATTTATCTGATTGCTTTTCACACCTTGTAACTTGTTCTTTTGTTCTGTGTATTTCCTGTAAATTGGAAATGAGATTTAAAAGCTTGATAAAATTTAGGTTAATCATTTTTGGTAAGGTTTTCCATATGTAGAAAAAGTGTGTTTTATACCAATTATCATACTAAGATTGATCAGAGTTTTGAGTGTAAATATTTTAGCATCTATTGATTTTTGTCTGAATCACCTGTTTTATGAGGTTACAAAATGGTAATATTTCTAATTTGGTCATTTCTACATTTATTAACTGGAGTTCTTCTGTAAAGAGGACTTTACGTCATCAATTAGGTTATGTAAAATATAGTTCTTACTATATTTATTACTAATTAAGGGTAAGCATTTCAGTTTTTTTCTTTACCGATTTTCAGGAAGGGGTTGGCGTAATCGTGACAAAGAAGTCTATACTTCTCATTTCTCTTGACCTCGGAGGTAAAGGGCCTATTTGTCTGTTTTTTGAGGGTAAATTCGTACACACACACACACGTTTTTCCGTGTGACTAATAGCAGTCGTTTTTCTTTTGGATACCCAGTTCAGCAAGTTTTGGATAGTGGTCCTTATGGTTTTATTTGCCTTTCTTTAATAATTAAGGTTGTGTTTATTTTCATTGTTTAAGGAGTATTGGTATTTCCTTTTCCGGGAACTGTCTGTTTACATCTTTTGGCAATACATTTTAATTTTTAACTTTATTGTATACAGTTGGATTGAGACTTAGAAGTTTAATTTAGTTTAAGCCAGGCGTGGTGGCTCACGCCTGTAATCCCAGCACTTTGGGAGACTGGGGCGGGTGGATTACCTGAAGTCAGCAGTTCAAGACCAGCCTGGTCAACATGGTGAAACCCCGTCTCTACTAAAAATACAAAAAATTAGCCGGGCATGGTGGCGGGCGCCTGTAATCCCAGCCACTTGGGAGGCCGAGGCAAGAGAATCGCTTGAACCTGGGAGGTGGAGGTTGTGGGGAGCTGAGATCCGCGCCATTGCACCCCAGCCTGGACAACAAGAGCAAGACTCTGTCTCAAAAAAAAAAAAAGTTTAACTTAGTTCATAATTAATCTGATGGCTTGGATTAGATGTATTTTATATTGAAGTAGTTACTTATTCTTGCTTCTGAGATCCTTGGAAAATTAAAGGTGGCTGTGGATTGGTGGGAAAGGTCATACTGGAGATGAGCTATGGCATCAACAAATTTTGAAATCATTTCCTTAATCCTTGCAGAATTATCATTGAGTACTGCTGCTCATGTGATAGTGATACGACTTAGAGGAAGAAAGGGCAAAATGGGGAGAGCATGATTTATTGTCCAAAATAATTTTTCTTTTCACTTATGTAAATTCTAATGTAATTTATAAAGCTATTCCAAATTACAGTATATGGTTTTTACACTGAAATATACTAAAGTAGACTTAACTACATAGAGGTATGTACCATGTTTAAGGAATAAGGAGACTGCTGTTAAAATGTCACTTCTTTTCAAATTGACCTATAGATTGAAGACAATTTGAATTAAAATTCGAAAGCCTTGTTTTGGAAGATTGGGGGATCTTGATAAGTTTGTTCCGAACTGTGTATGAAGAAGAATAAAGAACAAGAATAACTGAAATACTTAAGAATAATAAGAATAAGAATAAATGTATGTGTATGTACTTGTTTTATGTGGAGCTGGCATATCAGTGGGGAAAAAGATGAACTTCTCAAAAAACAGTGATGGGAATAATTTGTTAGCCATTTTTGTCTACCTGTGCCAGTGCCTCACAGTTTAAGTTACTATGGCTTTATAGTTTGTTTTGTTAATTGCTACTTTTACTCAAAAAAAATTTTTTTTTTGAGACAGAGTCTCGCTCTGTTGCCCAGGCTGG